ATTATACACACACACACAAATTGTCTTGATGAGGGAGGGACACGACAAAATAGAGGCATTCTAATAAATGTATTTTATAACTCAGTAACTTATAATTAAGTTGTTAAGTTATTAAACAATTATTATTCAACAAATTAACTTGACATCATACATTTTAGAAAAAAAAAGTAAGATAAATAGACACAAAGAAAGTTTTAAATCTATTTTAACATATCTTACATATAACATATAAGTAAATAAATACATTTCATGGACAAAAAAGTACACACTAAAATAATCAACCATCTTTCTCTGGATAGAGTAGGTCACTCGGATGTAAATATGGCATATATTTATGTACATACACATATGTAGTTGTTTTTTGGTGTTTGGCTTAGTGTTATGTTAGAATCATTATTATACTCATACCTTTTGTTCTTTTAATATTTTTGAATTGTTTTTAGCTTTATTTTTTTGTTTTCATTTAAATGTTTTAGTTTTGAAATGTTGTATGCATTTGTCATTTTTATTTAATTTATTTTACTTTCTTAAATGTGTATATATATAGTATTTATAGAGTTTTAGCTTTTAGTTTTAATTACATTTTCTTATTTGTAAGTCGCTTTGGATAAAAGCGTCTGCTAAATGACTAAAAGTAAAAGTAAAGTAAAAGTATTTAAATGAGAAGCGTCCGTTATGACGTCACGCAAATATGTTTATATATTTTTGTGTTCAATTGACAGTTTCTTGTAGGAAACGATTTAGTTTCGTTATCATCAGTGTCCAGCAGCAGATCTGTGGGTGGAGCAGCAGCACATCCACGTGGTTCGGGTGTGGGAACAAGCAGCTGACTTTTGAGAAATTTCTCGATCTTTCTTCGCGGTTTCTAATAGGGCGGAACCACAGCGATGCAGGGGCATAAAAAACCACCACGGGTGGATGGGACAACACCTCTCCGGTGAAATTACTCCGAGATCTGTTTGAAGTTGTTGTGCACTGAACTCAACTGATAAACAAACGCCTCAACGCACGCAGGACTTCTCTGAACCCCGCTGTTTGACTTCTGGAGAATATCGACCTAAAAACGCGCTCGATGGTGAAGATGGGGAAGGAGTATTACAGTGTGCTGGGGATTCAGAAAGGCGCATCCGACGATGAGATCAAGAAAGCTTATCGCAAACAAGCGCTCAAGTACCATCCGGACAAAAACAAGTCACCCGGCGCCGAGGACAAGTTCAAGGAGATCGCGGAGGCTTACGACGTTTTGAGCGACCCGAAGAAGAAAGACGTATATGACAAATTTGGTGAAGAAGGTGAGTAAAATGATGCAACCTTGTGTGGCATTTGTGCCGTGCCTGATGACACCGATAGAGATGGAGAGAATTTAAGACACACTTTTAGCAATTCGTGTTAAATCATATAGTTCACATCTTAAACTATCGTGTCTATGTTTGTTCAGAGATTATCCGATTATATGAGCTCACTGGCTATGCGATTCTGCATAAAGTGCGCGATATTTAATGTAGATGACTATAGTATATTCTTGATTGAGAGAAAACAGTCAGGTGAAACTACTGTCATGTTAATACGTTTGTTTTGTACAGTTACGTTAAATAGACACGATTTGTTATGCTGCATTCTGATTGGCTACCCGAGTGGGGCTTCGTGGAACGCCGCGCGCTTGCTGGAAGATTCTGATGGTCACGTGGTAGAAAGAGGCGGGGCGTTTGCGTGCTGTCAGCTGTTCTGTGCGTGTTTGGGTTGTGTCCCATTCCAGAAATGTTGAGCAACCCTAGACTTGTTTTTTTTTTCCAAGAAGAAAATGTAGGGGAGAGCATGGCACAACCTAAGACATTTTGACTTTCTCAGTTTGTGTAAATCCACATGGGGTTCAAAGTATAATTATTTAGCCACAGTAATTTCACACCTGTCTAGTACAAATATGTCACTTTGTTTCATAATTAGTGTGTATACGTTTTTCTTTATTTACCCTTAAAAAATGGAAGTGAAATGTAACAACATGCCCCGTAGGTTGGGTACATTGTAACATCTGAGGGGCATGTTGTAACATGACCATATGACAATGAAAATATACTAGACAAACTAAAATATTTTGTCAATAAAATAAAATAATTTACTTTTTTTTTTAAATAAAATAATGGTGTTTTTTGAGACAATGAACACATTGCAACCTTGCTTGGGACGGCCCACATAAACAATTAAAAAATGCTTTACATTTCTTGAAATAATAATAATAATTCTGAACATTAAACATTGACTGTCAGTCTTTATTCTCCTGTTTCTCGTATAGTGTCTCATTAAAATTCATTAAAGTAAATAGTGTAAATTACATTGCTAATGTCATAGAATAGCATAGTTTAATTAGAGCAGGGCACATTGTAATGCAACGTTCCCCATCTGCACAACTGGAACTTAACACCGGTTAGTGTCTTCTGCTAGTTAGCGAAGCATTAAAAAACTGATAGATCTAAACTGATAAATAACAGACTGGAGATTAAAATAAAAGCAAATTTGTCTCATTTTAAATGAATACTAAAAACTGAGATGAAAAACTCACTTAAGACAGAAATGTACTTTTACTATGGTAAAATAAATGTTCTGTGATATCTTCAAAATATTTTAAATTTTTATTTTGGAGCACTTTTTTTCTCTATATAGTGTTGATATGGCAACAAGTAAATACCTTAAATTTTGTTATGCTAGCGTGTGTGGAAATATTTAAACCACGTGTGTTACAACTAACCCCGCATTAGTTTGTGCCCCGCGCTCCCCTGCAATACAAAGTATACTCCAAACGATAATGACTATTAAAGACAAGATTTTCCATAAAAAAGGAACTTGTGGTGAATTCCAGTTGGGAGGAATTAAAATTCCCAGCTCTTCTGGGAGGTGTAGTAGTTGGGTAATCAATGTAATGAACTGTTTTAATAGATAGTAAAGCTTTTGGACCCTTGTTGCAGCATTTCTGAGTTGTCTGTGATCTTTATACAACACCATAAAAGTCTAATATGTGAGCTCTTTGTTTGTCATATTCAGGACTGAAGGGAGGCATCCCCGGCGGTGGAGGTGGTGGCGGGAATTTCACCTACACTTTCCAAGGCGATCCTCATGCAATGTTTACAGAGTTTTTCGGAGGACGGAACACTTTCGGACAGTTTTTCGGATGCAACGGTGGCATGGAGGAGGATATGGAAACCGATGACCCGTTTGCCAGTTTTGGCATGGGTGGCATGGGCGGTTTCCCCCGCTCCTTTAACACGCGCAGTCACGGCGGGAGACGGGAGAAAAAACAGGACCCTCCGGTGACCCACGACCTGAGGGTCAGTCTAGATGAAGTGTTCATTGGCTGCACCAAGAAGATGAAGATCTCACGCAAACGCCTGAACCCCGACGGAAGAACAACGCGCTCTGAAGACAAGATTCTTACAGTGGAGGTGAAGAAAGGCTGGAAGGAAGGAACCAAGATTACTTTCCCCAGGGAAGGTGATGAGACGCCATCAAACATCCCCGCAGACGTTGTGTTTGTGGTGAAAGATAAACCGCATCCCGTGTACAAACGAGACGGATCAGACATAATTTATCCCGCAAAAATTACACTCCGAGAGGTAAGACAGGGATTTTAAGAGTTTCTTTACAAACACTTTTGTAGTCTCTTTGCATCTTTCTAATCCCTTTTTTCTCTATTTTCTCAGGCACTTTGTGGTTGTACCGTCAACGTCCCAACATTGGATGGTCGCAAAATTACGTTCACTCAGGAAATAATTCGTCCCGGGATGAAACGGCATGTCACTGGGGAGGGTCTTCCTCTTCCGAAATCCCCAGACCGCCGCGGGGACTTGGTTGTCGAATACAAGGTCATATTTCCTGAAAGGCTGAGTCAAAGTGCCAAAGACACTATCGCAAATGTTTTGCCAGCTTGTTGAGCTGTGTATATTACAACGCTGGAGCCACTGCCATTGGGGATTTTGGTTTCATAGCATTTAAAGATGAATATTTGAGCTCAGCCCAATAAGGTGCCCATTTGCTGCTGCAAAACAAAAGTGTTATTCTGTAACATACTGCCATTGAGAGACTATCTGAACCTAAACATAGCTGGACTGGACTGGTTTATCTATCTATGTCATGTACATGAACCCATGTTTCCTTTGGGTCTAGTCCAGCACAAAGTCTCCAGCTGTGGCCTCTGGGCCAGTGTTTCGTTGTGCACTACACGCATCTAAGTTTACAATGTTGTCTTGTTCCAAAGATGGACAGTAGAGGATGTTGTGTTGTGTGGGGATACATATGGTTTCTTTTCTGACTTGATACCTCAGGAAAGGCTTTCTGTGAAAGCAGCCTGTAATTGTTCTTCCATTACAGTTTAATGGAGACGTTTAGTAACATCATGAAAAGTCATTGGTGGCCCAAAGTGATTCCTGCTTGGATCGTCTTTCATCTAAGTATGTGAATCAGCACATGCAAGAAATCACATAGACAGCAAATTTACAGAAGAAATGTGATGTATTTATTTTTTTTTTTTTTATAAAAGTAAAAAGAATTACTGATGTCAGTTCATTCTTTACACAAAATGGCATTGGACTGTTTTTCTGTTTTCTTAACTGATGTTCAGAATTGTTCTGACTTTTGTCTCTGTGAAATTAAATTTATGTTGCTTCACATTGTTGATATTAAACAGTATGTGGGACACCTAGTGGTTTTTTTTTTCTATTCTATAACGCTGCACATTTTTTCTTTTAAATGTTTTGCATAAAGGCAGTATCTGAACTTGGGTTTGTGTGATACTGTGTTAAGGTTCCAAATATTTTTTTTTTATAAATGTTAAATGGATTGCTTAACAGAAAATAAGAAAATTGTTACATTTACAATTGCGGTTTCAATAAATAATATTCAAAAATAATTTTAAAATTACATTCTTTAACTTGCTATAAAATTATTTATTTCAAGTATACAGGGCTCTAAAACAATAATAGCATTCCCTTCACCAAAACATTAAGTATTGATAATTGTATAGGTTTATATCAGAGAACTGACATTTGTAAAAAGAAAAAAAAAAGCTGTGAAATTTTTAGTTGAGACTAATATAACATCTAAATAATGATAGAATCACTTTTATAATAATGGCACTTCACTCATTTTCTGAACATGATGCTGATGTCCTCAGTGGTGTTTGGCACAGCAAAGACATCTGAAGAACTTCCTGTACTGCTCCCTGACCTGAACAAGAAAGAGAGGAGATTCAATTTTAACCTTGGTTAAGAAATAAATCAGAACGTGTCCAGGTTATATTTTAAAATCAAACAAAATCTAAAAGTAAAAAAAAAAAACAGGTGCTGCATTAAAGGGGTCATATGATGCGATTTCATTTTTTCCTTTCTCTTTGGAGTGTTACAAGCTCTTGGTGCATAAAGAAGATCTGTAAAGTTGTAAAGACTAAAGTCTCAAATCCAAAGAGATATTCTTTATAAAAGTTAAGAGTTAGCCACAGTCATGTCACTCGGCGGCCATCTTTGAAACGCCTTTCGGGCATGCAAGTGTGATAGGAGTTCTATCTCTTTGAATGGGGAAACATCAAATTCTACAAAAATGTTCACTAAGCTTGCGATTAAAAAAACAAAGAAATCTGATATCAACTGTGCCATAAATGTTGTTTATTTTGCTCAAATAGCGTTATAAAAAGCTTATTCAGGCTAGATCAGCCAGTGCGCATGCGCAGTCCTGATGGTGCGTTCAAGTCATGTTGGATAGATCGTATTTACGAGTTGAACGCACATGAACGCCACCACAAAGTCGTTATTACGAGTGGGAAACTCGAAATTTTCTTTAAGCCCCGAGTTTCCGAGTTGGGGGCGTGTCAATGAGAAACATGGCGGAATCGATGGATGCAACGTCTGTAGTTGACAGTAAATTTTTGTTTAAATTGATAGTTTAGTTGTCCTATAAACTTAAATTGGTCATGTTCTTGTTACGCAGCTGACTTCTAACGGCAGCTGCAGTGACGCGCTGACTTTGCCGATTAACGATTGGCTCCTTCATTCAGAAGGCGGGGCTTCCTACGATTGAGCGGCCATACTGAGCGTTGCATTTTTCCCCATTCAAAACTATAGGAGTGACATGTCTTGGGTATTCTATAGTCTTTGATTAAACTTAAAGGTGCACTAAGCAATTTTTGAAAAACGCTTTTGACCGCAGTGTCCCGAGTCCCAAAACCCACTTGTAGCCAATCAGCAGTAAGGGGCGTGTCTTGTAATGATAGAGAGAAGAGAGCGCTCAATTTGAGTGCACAGGACGGATATTATCAGATCGACTATAGATAGAGAGAATTGGAAGATAAAGAGGAAAATATCGGAGGAACAAAACATAAAAAAGAAGGGTTACGATCAGGCAAGAGGTAGGATCCGCGTAAATATCAGAGTAGCTTTCCAGCAGTGGAGAGAACTCAAGGAGCGGGAAGGGCTTGAATCGGACGCCGAGGTTGCGTTGTTTATTTTTGATAGGTGAGTAACGTTGATTTTGTTGGCATTTGTTTGAATATGCTTGTGTGTCATCTTTGCTTCCTTGATTGTCGTTATGCCAGGGTTGTGTACGTACGTGTGGGGCGGAGATATCAAAATAGGGGCGAGGTCCTGACGGGGTATGGGTGTGTTTGTTTTGGTGCTTTCAAATATCAACAACGTTTGGAAAAAAATCGCTTAGTGCACCTTTATCTTTTGAGAATGTTGTAATTTTGAAAATGACTAATTAATCACTGATCTTGTGAGTTGTTATATACTAAAACAATTCTTCAAAATGTAAGAATTTATTTTTTACCAAAAAGGAAAATAAAATGCTCAAAGTTATTCCTCTGCAAAATAATATATTGAAATAGATTTTGCATCTGTTTGTAATATTCACCCAAGTGGCTAAATTCAGAAGATGAGAAAGACAAGATAGACTGAATATAGAGTAGTTAAAGCTGATTGTTTGGAGGAGTATGTGATGTCTGACCTCATTATTGAGGACACAGTAGATCAGGAAGATGAAGGTTCCCTGCTGGGAGTTCAAGATCAGGAAGAGGATCTCCAGCACCTTACTGCCATTAGTGAAGAAACCCAGAATCCAGGAGCAACCAAGAACCACACACTGACCCAGTGTTTTAAACACCATAATCCTGCAGAAGAACCACACACTGACCCAGTGTTTTAAACACCATAATCCTGCAGAGATAATGTATCTTTGTTGACTATAATAAAAACACTATATGTGGTTTTCCTTACAGCAATTACATTATAATATTTATTACTTGTTTTTTTTCAACTGCGAAACATCAGCGTTCAGTTTTGTGAGAGATGAGTTCAGACTGATGATGATGCAGATAAAGAGAATCATGTTTAACTGCAAAGTAGAAAAACAATAATTAATCACCATGTTTTCCTTTTAATACAAATCAAAATCATGAAAATGAAACATGCTTACTGCTAGTATGATGCAAACAGGTCCCAGAAAACTCCAGATGAAGCCTTTATCCATCTTAATCCAGCAGCTGTTTGGAAGAAGATACTGTTTGGAGTTTATGAAGGAATGATACAGTTTGAGGGGAAAAAAGGAGAAAACACTAAACTCACTGTTCGCTGCCGTAGCCGTCAGGAACCAGACCGACAGACACACACACCACAACCAGAGCAACCAGATATCCAATCACACACAGGAATCCACTGCTAAGCACCTCCCTCTTTTTGGAGCTGATCTGTGATAGGTTCTTCACACAGATGAAGAGCAGCACAGCTTCAATGAACATCCACACAAAGCCGGAGAGAAAGAGGAAGTGCAGAAGGCCTGAGATCACGGCACACAACACCTGGAGACCATGAGAGACGGTTATGATGATTCTCAGTGAGGCTGTGCTGAGCTGTAGGGCTCCTTCATCATTCTCACCTGCTGAGGCCGTATGAAGCTCAGGAACTGCTGTGTGAGCAGGAACAGAAGGTGAGCCAGCAGAAGACTGATGCAGATGTTGATTCGAGCCACATTATTCACTCCAGGACTCCACTGACAAAGGGCAAAGGTCAACAGGGCCAAACTGAAGAACACCAGCCCCACGATCGCACACACCAAATTCAACAGCTCCATCAGTGGGTCGTTCTGAGAAAACATGAGAGAACACGAGTGCCAAATCTGTGCTTTTCTGCAGTGTTCACTGGAAATGTTCTGTACCTCTGGTGGGCGGCTGGTTTGCATGATGAGAGCGAATGTCGACAGATGATCACAGGAACACACAGTGTAGCTGCTGTTGGTCTCTAAAACAGAACAACCATCTACAATCCACTCGCTGATATTCCAGTACACACAGGACAGAGAACCGCTGGGATCAAACTCCTGCAAAAGATTGAGAGCGAATGTCGACAGATGATCACAGGAACACACAGTGTAGCTGCTGTTGGTCTTTAAAACAGAACAACCATCTACAATCCACTCGCTGATATTCCAGTACACACAGGACAGAGAACCACTGGGATCAAACTCCTGCAAAAGATAAATAAAATAATAAAACACTGAATATTAGATGTTTCCAGATGTTCTTCAGTTCTCAGGTTGGACAAACACATTTCAGTGTCTCACTCTGATGTGTTTCAGGGTGAAGTTGACTGGTTTGGTGAGTTTAGTGTTGGTGGTTTTGGGAAGAGTAGCTGAGATCACAGTGGACATCATGGTTTTAATCGTGTTTGATGTGTTGAAGAAGTCTGGCTTCAGTAGATTCTCCATCGTGTTGTAGCTCATGAAAGCCACAGCAGCTGATCCTGTGTGACAGAAATAGAAGTGTGATGTGAAATACAACAATGAAAAAACTGCAAGTGAACGTGATTTAGTTGTACATATGTCTCTTTCTTTAATTTTTTCTTCTTTAATGTTTTTTTTATTTATTTATTTAATGCACACTATAACATTTCACATACTTGTTTCAATGTTGTTCTTGGCGATTCCAATGAGATCGATGTCCACAGAGGAAGTTGTTGTTTCAAGTTGAGGTATTTTATCTAAGGTGACATTTGGTCCAACCATGAAGACTTCTACCTCTGGTTTAAAAAACAAGCTGCTCCATTTAGTATTTTTTACTTTACTTCATTTTTTTTTTTTAATGAAAATTCATTCAATCTGCACAAATTTATAACATGACTAGTGCGCTTCAGTTCTGAACTGGTTTTGTGTGAGGACTCAGATTTTATATTGGACATCAAGCAGCAAAATTGTTCATTGAACAAAAGTAAATAATGATGTCCTTAAAATCCAAATACTGTAATTGACTATTACCATAAACTGCACTGACTTATGGTTTTTATCGTTTGAGTGTTGGTAAGTGTCTCATGAATGTTGATTGTTTTGTCTTTAAGGCAGTGAATATCCGCAAAACACATTGTAGTCACAAACCATTTCTATGCTGCACGTTTCATATAATCATGGGTCATATTTTCTTTGAACATGTTTTTAAGCATGAATGTGTCACTTGACCTGCCCATGTTGACATCTGTCTAATGGGACAGAGCACAGGCAATACAGAAAGTTTTTTTTTCTGCTCTCTTTTAAAATGAGTTGATAATGATACACAATTAAATAGTTTCTGTGTTGCATTCAGCATTGTTGCTTTCTGCCACCTGTGATCCACCGCTGCTAGACTATAAAAAGTCTCTGACATCATATATAATCTCAGTTTCATCATTAATAATAACTGTTTCTCCACTTACCCACAGCAGCAAGAGTAAAACTGACACTGTCATTTGTGTCTGTCGGCTTCACTAATGTAGAGATGAGTTTCTCACTGGCTTTTAACACACGGTTTCCATAGGAGGCTAGTTCAGCTGGGCTTGCTGATGATGATGACTCTAGAATCTTCTCCACAGCATTGAGGACCATTTTCAAAATTCTCATCACAGTCTAATTTATTGACCAGAAAAATACAGTTACCTTACATGTAAATGGTAAGACTGCACTGCTATGTCGATCATCTATTATCTAGCTAGATTTGATTTGATTATTTTATCATTTTTCTCTTGCAGACTTACATTCACAGGAAGCTCTTGAGCTGTAATGTTCTCAATCAGCTCAAGAAGATTTTGAAGACATTCTAGAGAAGTCTGTATCTGAAATCACAATTGTGAGGCAGAATTTGATGATTTTGATCAGGGGTATGTATTAATAGCTAATTAGTTTAAGCACGAATCCATAAAGAATAAATAGAAAGTCAAATTCATATTAAAAATATCCATAATGCACATCTTATTGCACTGCTCTCGGCACTATAATTGATAGAAGCTGTGAGTCCAACTCTAAAACCTCAATTTCAGAAACTCAACTTACAGTGCATCCTTCCGGCAGCGTTATATTTATAACTGCAATGACAGAAATCAGCATGAAGACAATAATACAATAAAGCAAAAAAAAAAAAACATTCTCAGAAAACAGCTACATTTCAGGAAGAATCCACTATGTTAAACTTTTATTTAAAGATTAGCAGTCAACGATTCTACATTATAATTTCTGTTCAATTCTACACATTCACAAACATTCAGTCAAAACACTATCAACAGTGGAAACATCAGACTACATTACCAGCTGGGCTCGTCTCTGGTGTGACTGTTGTATGAGTGCTGCTGATGTTTGTAACAGCTGAAAAAAATAATGGCTGATGAATATCAATGAATCACCACAAATACAAATAATACAGGTACACACAAATAATACAGGGCTCATGTGAATATAATCACCTGCACAGTATGCAGAGCATTTAGTTGGTCTAACCAGCTCATAGACATAGTAATTGCCTGGACAGGCTTTGACTTTAATGGGGTAAGACCCGTAATAGCAGCAGTAATTGCTCCAGTGACCGCAGACATCTCGAGTGACGACTCCATCTGTAACTGCTGGGTGTCCACCATGAATCCACAGTGCGATATTGGTGCCACAGCTATAGATGTCCACACATGTGTCTGGGATCTGAGCGCTCATGTTGTTAATGAAGAGACGATACCAGCCGCTCCAGGTGAGATCTCTGTCACACTTGAAGGAGTTTGATGGCTGACTGCTGTTGGCTCTCCATGGTTCGTCCAGCACAGTGTAGTTGTAGCAGGGGTCAACAGAGGGATAAGCTGTTATGAAAACATTAAACAAATGTGTTGCTTAAAAAATTACAGCTGTTTCCCCGTAACCTCCGTGGACAAAGCAGTTGCCATTAAGAACACTACATTATTAGGTATTACATGAAGTGAAGATGAAAACAAAATGCCATCGAATCTTTTCCGAAGAGAGTCAGAACCTTCAGAGGTGCATTCACATAATTAATTCATTCATATATTAATTTGTATAATTCCCTTAGCACTCTTTTACGTAAAATCTCCCAGCTTTCTGCCATGTTTTCACACAATACGATACTACTCTGCGAGCTGTGCGCACGTGCGACTGTTAATTAAAACTTTGCTTTATGCTGGGTAGTATTTATTTAGTTATCTTGAGTTGTTCAAATCACGGTAATCGAAATACGGTTTTAATGATACTTAAAATATGAAATGGTAATGTTAACCGTGGGGAATTTTATCATGGTTTATCGTCAAACTGGTTGCAAATTGCCACTGCCCCTGGTAATTTTCTGCCAAGACATTATCCATTACGTTTATGGACATTTCCTGTACTTCTAACACACAGCATACTGCAATGTGTAATTACAAATACAGTATTGTGAAAAATCAATACAGAAAATTCCTTCATATTAACACATTATTTTGTGCTCTATTTTTTACAGAATTTTCGAGGAGTGTAGCATATTAACTATAACTACCAATACACTGCTTAAAACTATAATTTTTCAGAATGTGTTGTTTTAGTACTAATACATAAAATCATCAATAAAATACATCAAATGTAATTGTTAAAAAATGTATAACTGTTCAATAATTTGATATTGTATTTAAAAATAAAAGTTCATAAAACAATTTTGTTTATATTACTTTTAAACTTTGCAGATATTGTTTATGCTCAAACAGCAACATTAGACACTAACTAACGTTAAAAAAGTGAAATCGCAATGAACCACCCCTTTAAAGCTGCTTGCTTAGAACTGAAGCTTTGCAGAATAGCCCCGCCTTCTAAAAGAGTCAATCGCTAAAGGGTAAAGCACAGTGGCCGGTCTAGCATAAAAATAAGCTTTTTTAATGCTATTTGAGCATAAGAAACAACATTTATGAGACAGTCGTTGTCAATTGTAAGACAAATATCCATATTTAAAATGATATAAACACCTTTCTTTCACTTCTGCTAACTGTCGTAGGCGGATGCTGTTTCGGCGGATGACGTAGGACGTATGCGTAGCGTAAGCGCCGGTGATTAGTGACGAACGTGGAAGCGCGACGGAGAGAGAACAAAACAAAACGCCAGTCACAAATTAGAAGCACAAAACGAGGATTTGTAAAAAAAAAAAAATCCTTAGGATTTTGATATAAGCCAAGAGGAGACTGGTTTTCCTTTGGCAAAGTAAGGAAACTTTGGTTTTCGCGAGACTCACACGTGCATGCGTACGTCCTACGTCATCCTCCGGAAAGGCAGTCTCTCGTGAACGCACGTACGACATTTAGCGCATGTTACCCAAAACTGTTTACATTGTTTTAAATATGGATATTTTTCGTACAAAAATGCATCGATTCTCTACAGGAGGCCTTTTTTTCACCCCCCGGAGCCGTGTGATGCACGTTTTAATATGGATGGTGCTTTATTTGACTACTTTTGGACTGTTGAACAAAAACACCCGCCCATGACATTATAAAGCTTGGAAGAGCCAGGACAATTTTTTAATATAACTCTGATTGGATTCGTCTGAAAGAAGAAAGTCATATACACCTAGGATGCCTTGAGGGTGAGTAAAACATGGGCTAATTTTCATTTTTGGGTGAACTAACCCTTTAAAGCAGGGCTGGGCAACTTCGGTCCTGGAAGGCCACTGTCCTGCAGAGTTTAGCTTCAACCCTAATCAAACACACCTGCCTGTAGCTTTCTAGTGATCTTGAAGACATTGATTAGCCTTAAAGGGACTTTGGGCTAAAGTATATTCTGCAACGGTCCGTGCACTCTCTGAGTGATGTAATTTTCATCATCAGGAGGGTCTTCAGATATCCTGATTTTTGTTTCATTTTTTGTGGCCGCGTGGACAGGGCGTATACATCAGCACACACGCATGTGCACCTTAAATGTTAAAACAGAAGAGTCCACAAGCTCGTAATAGTGATGTGTCGTTCATGAATGATACGTTCATTTTGAACAAATCTTTAATATGACTCATCGAGTCATCTCAGTGAGGGAATTGTTCATTTCAATATCAATTCATATGTATTTACTACTTTACATAAAAGGGGATACAAATCTTTTGTTGAATGCAGTTGAATGCCTTTTTAGCACCATTTTAAACTTGGGGTTAAATTCAGTATTTGCTTGCATTCATTATGTATACTTATATAAGTATCGTTAAAAAAAGGATGTAAGTATTAACTTTTTAAAATTTCACATTTAAAAAGCTAGTGTTTTATCATTAATCTCCATGAACCACGTGACCACGCAGCGACGTCGGCGAGATCAAAGCTTGTCGCAACTCTGGCTTTAACTGAAGTGCTACATTTTACGATTTACGCCACATTAAGTGCGCCAAAACTGTATTTATTGTTTAAATTTCCTATTAAAACTTACAAAATTTGAAAGCTGAGACTGTTTCATATCGCAAGCAGGGTTGCCAATTCGGCGTGAGATTTACATGGGCAGCATGAGAGCGTGTGTTGGCAACCCTGACTTATCTACATTTCTAACATTTTCACCAACTGACACAAGCACAATCACTCACACATCTATTCAGTAGTACAGATCTGCACATTCATCAAGCCAATAGAGACACAGTGTGTTACATTACCAGTTGAGATGGTCACTGGTGTGACGGCTGTAGAGCTGCTGTTAAAGCTGCTAACATCTGAATATTTGGATGAATAGTGATTAATGAACAGAGACACAAATATCATGAATTTGTAGAAAGAGCTCATGTAAATATAATCACCTGCACAGTATGCTAAATTGCAGGTAGTTGGACTAACCAACTCATAGACATAATAATTGCTTGGACAGGCTTTGACTTTAATGGGAAAAGACCCGATATGGCAGCAGTAATTGTCAAAGTGACCACAGACATCTCGATTGACGACTCCATCCTGTACTGTTGGGTGTCCACCACGAATCCACAGTGGGACAGTAGTGCCACAGCTACTCCGTGCAACACATGTGTCTGGGATCTGAGCGCTCATGTTGTTAATGAAGAGACGATACCAGCCGCTCCAGGTGACAGACTGGTCACACTTTATGGCTGAAGGATCTGTATTATTTATGGCTCTCCATGGATGGTCCAGTACAGTGTAGTTGTAGCAGGGGTCAGAGAGATGAGCTGTTATGAAAATATTTAAAAGACATCATCACATTTCTGAAAAATGTGTTGTTATAAAATATTTCCAGAAGTACAGCTGAAGAATTAACTTAATTAACAAATTATTACAATATGGGAAACAGAACTGCCAACCTTGAGTTGAACCGTAGTGTTGAAAAGGCTTAAGTTTTACTGTTTTTTTATTGTTTTTATTCTTATTGGTGGGCTGTGAATTATTGACAGCGTAGTTTAGTCCCCGCCTATAGACCAAAACTACTTTTTGTTCCAGGCTGTAAACACATTTTTTTCTGCTGTAAAGTTGGGCATTTTAACATGGGGAGTCTATGGGACTGACTCCCTTTTGGAGCCAGCTTCTAGCGGCCAGTCGATGAATTACAGTTTAAGTCACTTCCGTGTTGGCTTCACGAGAGAGAGCGGAAGGTTGCCACTCGGTCAAAAATGACCCGTATTCATTTCCTATGTTATTTCATGCATGACTGGCAATTTTTTTGTTCCGTCGTTTGAAATCAGTTTATTTCAGCATTTAATATTCACCGATCTAGGAATTCAATGATCCAAGAATATTCTAAATATATTATTTTCAATGAACATCAATTATTATTTAAATTTTTCTTAGGTTTTGTGTTACTATGTCAAGTTTATGCACATGGGTCAAAAATGACCCCATCTATGCAAATGTGATAACACAAAAGAAAAAAGACAACATTTTGTTAAAATAATCATTTTAGCAGTTATTTAGGTCAACACATTTAACACTTTGTCACAAATAGCATAACACATATCACTGATAACCGATAACACTGAAATTGAACAGTATTCAGAATTGTACAGAATTGTAGTGTATGTGACCGAATAAAAGAAAATAAAACTGACAAAGTTAAATCACACAGGTACAGCAACATCTCAATTTGCCATTTTAGTGCTTACGTGACTCACAAATGACAACTACATGTTTGTGCTCCTTGCACACAGGCCTGTTGCACTGGGAATGCCAGCTGCTGATTTGTCCTCCCTTGGCCGGGCCTCTGAATATGGTTTTGAAGGTGAGACGTGCCCTCCAAGCACCTCTTCATATGTGGCATGACAAGCAATTTGACCAGCTCCTTGATGAATATCTGTCATGCATTGGTCACACCACCCGTGTAATCAGGGTGTTGTACAGTGAAGTTGGTGTAGGCCGGGGGTGACCATCGTCGGTCCTGGAGAGCCACAGTCCTGCAGAGTTTTGCTCCAAACCTTGATAAAAGCTCACCTGCCTGTTGCTTTCTATTAACCCTTAGACCTTGAATAGCTTGTTCAGGTGTGTTTGATTAGGGTTGGAAAAAAACTCTGAGTTTGGCTCTCCAGGACCGACGTTGGCTGCCCCTGGTGTAGGCATTGAGGGTCCAACTATAGGGCCTTTCGCACCGCTTTAGTTCCAGAACTAAATGTACAGTACTAAAGTACTGGGGCTGCTGTACAGGTGCTTTGACACAATCTGTATTGTTAAAAGCGCTATATAAATAAAGGACACTTGACTTGACTTGACATATGAAGATGCGCTTGGAGGGCATGCCCCACGCCACAGGGGGACATCAGACAGGAGGGCCAATCGAAGAGGAAGAGGTGCAGGATCAGAAAAATCAGCAGCTGGTGAACCAGGTGCAGGTCCTGGGCAGCTCCTCAGGATATTGTGGCTTCTTGTTCTGCCCTGAGTAGGGGGATGCTCACTCAAGACCCATTTTACTCTTTACTATCGGACTGGGTCTGAGTTTAATGTCATCAAATGAGTCTTCTTTAGGAAAGCTGAATTTACACCCACAACTCCAGATTGACCCTGTGGCACAGTCTAAGCCATTAGCATCAGATATTTCAGACTCTGAATCAAGACAACAAATGGCCTCATCTTCCTCATCCTGTTCTTCATGCAGCATTTCTACAACCATTTCAGCCATTGATCTTGAAATGACTAGGACCAGCCATACTAACACTCTGGATGAAGAAAATAAAAGGACAAGAATATCTTTGAATGCACATCAAACAGTTGATCAAGTATGTACTTATAGTACAGGTGCATCTCAATAAATTAGAATGTCGTGGAAAAGTTCATTTATATATATAAAATAAAAAGTCAGTCGGGTCACTTTAGACCCATGTTGTGCATAAAGGTTTAATGTTATCGCATTGGACTAAGATTTACTTCGTCTTTGTTCACACAGGGCATAACTACTTCCACCGCAAAACAAATTTGTTAATTTTTGTTAAACAATTTTTATGTTATTTAACCTTGTTACACTTGTGGTGTTCCCGGTCAAAAATGACCGGCCTACAAAAATAGCTTATAAATCTCTTGTTATGCAATATTATCACCTAATATTTACGTACACGCGTCATGCGCCGGATGTTGTGAACGTGCTCAGGACAGTTGGACATTGCAATGAATCAGAGGTAAAAAATGATATAAATACTGTTCAGTTTCTTGCACAGACCAATCGTTTCGAGTCTTAAGACCTCAATGTATCGTCACAAGCCGCAGAGTTTAATTTGGTTTTGTCTGTGTATGTTTTTTTACTCTCAAAGCCGTGATTCCCATCCACTTCCATTATATGACTGACAGACTGCAACAGTTTGAGTTAAAAATCTTCGTTTGTGTTCTACTGAAGAAACAAAGTCACCTACATCTTGGATGCCCTGGGGGTAAGCAGATAAACATAAAATTAAAATTTTTGGGTGAACTATCCCTTTAATCTTATCTTATGTACCTCAGTTTTTGAGTGAAAAAAAAAGTTATTTGTGGATAATTTTGTCAATATTAAATAAAATATGAAAACATTTGCACTGTTTATCACACTACTATGCTCTTATGTTTAACCAAGAAATTTGTTTTGAAAAGCTTTTACTTTGTACAAAATTTTTTTTTTAAATCCCACTTGTGGTGTTCCCAGTCAAAAATGACCGGTCCACAAAAAATAGCTTATAAATCTATTGTTATGCTATATTATCACCAAATATTGGTATCAATCTTTTTTTCAGCTTGTTTTCTTTCAATTAGGACTCGTTTTATGTTTATCTTTAGAACTGATTTTTTGTAGGCCTCATTAATTTGAGCTTACGTACCTCAGTTTTTGAGTGAAAAAAAGCATTATTTGTGGATAATTTTGTCACTATTAAAAAAAATATTTAAAAAAATTGCACAGTTTTTTCACACTAGCATGCTCTAATGTTTAACTAAGAAATTTGTTTTGAAATGCTTATATCTTTTCATTTTTGGGTGAACTATCCCTTTAATCTGATCTTATGTACCTCAGTTTTTGAGTGAAAAAAAGTTATTTGTGGATCATTTTGTTTTGAAAAGCTTATATCTTGTAAAAAAAAAATAGCACAAAATAACACTTAGCCAACCAGTGCAATAATATATAAATGCTGCAGCGTAATTTGTCAAATGTTCCGCCCCCTCATTGGAGAAAAATCACGTTCAAAAAGAAGGCGCGTGACGCTGTAATCCAAGCGATGATAGAAGTAGACGTAGAGGAGTGGGATGATTTTTTATTTTTACAATGTTTTTGTAATGTATTCATTATCACAGGCTGTAATAAAAAACAAGTTGTCCTATACTAATACCAAGAGTCAATACATTTGGTTCGAATAGCCTATATTTTAGTAGGCTATAAATATGTGGCTATGTTACAGTTCCCCTTTGAAGCTCTTGTGTTTTTCTCCTTTTCCATCTCTCCAATCCTATTCTGCTCACAGGTGATTGGAGATGAGTTTTGTTCCCACTTTGTTGCAGTCTGCTGATTTTTATTTATTTATTTATTTATTTTATTTAACTTCTGTTTTTGCTTTTCAGATAAAAGAGTGGTTTCAGTTTAATATGTTGCAGGCTCATTTATTGGTAATAAATAATTGATAATAAATAATATTGATAATAAATCATCAAAAAAATATTGGGCTTGTTTTGGGCTTGTTTTTGAAGCTGCGTTTGTTTATTTATCTTGCTAGAGTTGGCAACAGTGTTTCCCACTGAGCCACTTGCGCTGCCCCTCAGCTGTAGACATAAAATAAAATAATAAAATATTGTTTGCCGACCTTTTTTCATGTTTGTATGTATGAAAAAATCGAATCAAATAAAACAAAAACATTTACAGGTACAAAACTCTGTTTGGATAGATGCTGAAATGTACACCATACACAGCAAAACCCTCAGTGAACACTGCTCAGTGTTTATATGAGTCCAATCTACACAATGTTAAAAGAAACACTGAAACAGTGTTGAAGTTAATGAGATAATTAAGTGATGAAATAACTGATGATTGAGCATTTGGTACAATCAACTGCAAATAAAAGACATTAAATCTCAAGATCTCAGCAGAGGATGATTAAGCAAATCCACAAACAGCATCACCAGCTTCACACATTACTAACCAGATTGACTTTATTTCTGTCAGACATCTAGAGAAGGTTTAGATGTTGATATTTGTTTCATTTGAAGTCACCATTGTGGTGGGCAGTGTTCGTTTTAGTTGGGATCATGGTCCTCGTACTTCTTGTGCTAGCTTTTCTTTGGTTGTTGTAAATGTGTGTTATAATAGTTGTGGAAAAGAGAGCCAAAATAAAGCGAGATCAAGTGTTATCAGCTTTTTGAGGATAATAAGATCATTGCAAAATAAGTGTCTGATGTTGCGTTTTTTTTTTGTGTTTATGTTTGGCATTTATAGTCATTAACTTTGTGGAACTGTAGTACTGGCACCAATACTGGCTTCTTTTGTGATAAAGACATTGAAAAGAAATCTTTTGGACATAACTTTGCTCGTGGGTTAGGTCACTTCACTTTGTTCTCCTATTGTCTGGGCCTGCTTTTAGTATGTGTGTGTGTGTGTGTGTGTGTGTGTGTGTTTGTGTGTGAGAGAAAGAGTGAGTGAGAGTGAGAGTGTGAGTGTAGGCCTAGTTGTGAGTTTTGTGTTTCTGCCCCTGCCGTTCCCGCACAAGGTTAGCCCTTTAATTCATAAATGTGATCTAACAAAGGGCAAATATTAACCATATATGCTGTTTATATTGCTTGTAATTGGGAGGAAGTAAACATCTGTTGAGTATTTAACATAAAATTGTTTGTGTTTAATTAAAAACCCAAAAATGCAGCGGGTCCACCAGACCCACAAACACTGGCTGAGAAACAAAAATATGAACACCACACAAGGGTTAAATGCGGTTGTTACTCCTGAAACTTACAGTGTGTACGTAGCCTAAATGCGGTTGTCACTGCCTGCATTGTTCGGGAGTTAATTCGGTTGTCGAATGTGGTTGTCACTCCTGTATTTTAGAGAATTATGTGTGTACAGAACGCAATTAAGGAGTAAAAGGTGAACTGACAACTTTGCCGCAGGGTGTACATGGCCATACAGTATCCTTCAGAAATGTAGACAATATTACTAGAATCACGAGTAACATGCTGATTTTCCAAGTGTTATATTCTAATACAGAAAAAGTCAAATTCTTTACTGTGTGCACATTTGTGCAGAAAAATAAACTGGTTGTTTGTACATCAGCTCAACACACCAATCTAAAGATCAAAAACACCACAGCACAATACATTACCAACTGTGGTTGTCTCTTGTTGTCTTATAGAGGTAAAGACATCTGAGAAAAAGAAGGGGGAAAAAAGAATACTGGTTAATTAAAACATTGTAAATGGTGCAATATTTAAAACAGAATATTCTGGCGGAAATATTAAACTCTCTGCTGTTAAGCACATTAAAGCCACAGCTTAGGCATCTGAATGAAAGAAGTGTGTCACACATTAAGAGGGATTCATTTCAAGCTGTTGCTCCCAAAAAGATAATCAATTACATTGTAGGATCATTAGATCTGTGCAGGTCCAAATAAAAAATAAAGTCTTATTTAGCATCTTCTGAGTTGATTTTGGGGAGAATTTAAACACAGTAAAATATTCAGACCAGAAACACATTATCAAATTAGTCATTATATTTACTAAACTAATACATTGTGGGCCTGCTTATGTGTTACATTCACACACACACACACACACACACACACACAAAAAGCCACAACCAATAAAATTGATCAGACTTACACAGCATAACAAAGAAGATAGTCGGTGCTCTTATAAAACCTGTTATTAAATA